TGTGTATATATTGATGATATTCTAGTCTTCAGTCAAACCAAAGAAGAACATCGAAAACATCTTGAAATAATTTTAAATGACGTTAAAACGCAAGGACTCATTATAAGTAGTAAAAATATGATATTAGAAATACAAGAAATCAAATGTTTAGGCTTATTCATAAAAGGAAGAAAAGTAGAATTACAATCACATATTGTTCAAAAGATTTTAAATTTTCTCTATAAATTAGAAGAAACCAAGTTATCATAAGTATTTTTAGGATTATTAAATTACGGTCGCAATTTTATCCCAAAATTAGGACAATTAGTATGACCATTATACTCTAAATTAGGAAAAAATGGTCAAAAATATTTTAATACACAAGACATAGAACTCGTTAAGAAAATTAAATCTCTAGTCACTCAGTTAGAATCCTTGCAACTCCCACTAGAAAATAGTTACAAAATAATTCAAACATACGCATCAATATAATGATTGGCAGGTTTACTTCTTCAAAGACCTACAAAAAAATCTTCTCGAGAAGAAGAACAAAATTGTCGCCATGGAAGCGGAACCTTTAATAAAGTATAATCTACTCTACCATCAATAGATCTAGAAATTTTAGGAGTAATTAACTCTATTGAAAAATTTCAGATATTCCTTAATAAAGAATTTCTTATAAGAACAGATTGTGATAATATAATTAAATTTGCAAACAAAGCAAAACAACAACGAATGTCTGCAAAAAAATGGATTTCTTTTATTGACTGTATTACAGGAAGAGATTTTAAACCTATATTTGAACATGTCAAAGGAAAAGATAATAATTTAGCAAATATTCTATCTCATTTACTAATTAATTGTTAAATTTTGTAGGTATGGAGAAGAGTAACAACAGCATTTATAGCCTTATACCAAGTACTTCTAACCCTCTTTTGATTATCCAAAACTTAGCTCTACAGTTCCGCACTAGACATAATATTTTTCCAGACCAAAAACTTATTTTAGATAATCTTTGGTTTAAAAGAAATACACCCGATAGATTAATCGTCAGAAATTTAAATACCTTAAGTAAATATTTTGTAGCATCTAATAAAGCATATCATAATCTCCTGCAAGAATACCAGATTCTCACATCTCATTTTAAAAAGTTAAATTTAGCTTATCAAAATGCAACAACAAATCCCACAGCTGAACTAACCTTTTTTGAACAAAGGATTAATAAAGATGAAAATCTTCAGAAAGTTCATTTTCTGCAGGTACAAACAAAGTATGCCAACCTACTACCCATTTTCTCCCTGACTTACAGAGAAATCCTTAGACAACAAGTTGAACTCTTTCCTAAAGACATAAAAGAACTAATCATTGAAGAAGCAAAATCTGATGTATTCAAAGAATGGGTTGATATCCAAAACTATCTAAGAAACAATAGTCCATCTAAAGGATCTCGTTACCATTATCTTTCTATACGTCTTGTACAAAATTATGAAATTCTTTCTATAGTTTTGTTAAATATAAACCTTATTTTTTTTATTGTCCCCCTGATATCATCAGAAAAACATGCTTCTCAACAAAAACCATTTGTTGCTCCGCAAGTAAACTCTTTGAACTAGGAATGGTCGATAGCATTACCATACCCAAAGACATGCCTTTAGAAGTTTTACAAGCTTTTAATTTTCCCGATCGCTTAAATCAAGCCATTCTCTTTGAACAATCTCATTAGCGCCAAAACTATATGCCAAAAAGTCCAATTCTCCTTCAAATCCATAGTATTCCCCCCAGAATGGGTAAAAGATGGAGCTGTAATTCTTAGACAACATAGGATCTATATTAATTTAAAATTAGTTGAAGTTCAAAATCAGTTACAACACACCTCCTTTGTTAATGATTTTCGTAACCATATAGAACCAGCCACATTTGACCATTTAATGTATTATAAAGTATACTGACAGCTTAACCCAAGTTTTAACCATGGTTTCAGATTTTTAGATCATAATATCAATATGGAGATTTTTATCAAAACCAGAATTCCAAATGTCATCAGATCTCCCCCAGAAATTGAAATCTCACCAGAAGTTGCTGCTATAATAGATAAGGAAGCAGAATGCATCAGAGGACTACATGCTCAGTTAGATAATCCGTCAGATGAAAGAAATAACAATTCACCAGACAGCACTAAAGAGAGAAATCTGTTTAATATGTTAGATGTGTATTGATTTCGCCAAAAGAATCCAGAAAGTATTCCAGAGTCAAAAAGTCTACAGTGGAATTCACTTTCAGGGACCAGTTGTAGATAAGATTCCATCAAAAAACAGATTTTTGAAGATAAGAATCTATCGAAAACAGATTCTGAAGTCACAAATTTCTAAAGGACAACAGTTTAAACATAAAGGTGTACCACAATAATTCAAAGAACCTTATCTCCAAAGCATCTTTCATCTCAACCATCTATGCAGCATTTGCAATCTCAAGCATTGATCCATCCTTCAGATCACTCGATAAAAGGAAGCTTTCAGCTCAATAGAAGATCATCGAGTCTTAGCATCATTAAGTTTAGAGCCGTTAAGCATTCCAGCCCTCAACCATAACTTCTTAGTGTTTTCTTTTGTGATTTCTTTCAGTGTGTTTCTTTTTGTAAAATATTGTGTGAGAGTGTATCCATGTGTAAACAGTGTGTATCCATATATATAGTTTTCATGAAATAAATTATCCAGTTTGCTCTTATTCAAAAATTCATTTTCCCTATTTAGTATTTTCAGTTCTTTCGGGCAAAAGATTTCGGTCGACAAAAAGATCAAATATATAAATTTTATTTAGCCAGAGAGTGTAGATCCTAAATTTTTCTTCAATGCAAGCAGCCTTAGTTTTAATTTAGCAATTTTTTCTGTGAATTGACTCGAACTGTTAGCTTGTTGGCCCGTTCTTGTCTGTGTTTAAGCATTTTTACAAGACGTTATCAAGTTTGACAGTCATTTCTGTGATTTAATTATTAAATTTGTCTCTATGTTATCTATATGATATTGCATACTTCTATCTTGGTAACTTTTGATTTGATTTTGGTATTAGAACCTATACTATTTAGTTAAGTTTAATTTATATATAAGATCTTTTATCTAAAGAAGTCTAAAAGTTCATATTAATCTATTGTGAAATTTTAATTTATTGTGAAAAAATTAAAAAGTTAGAAAAATATTAAATAATTTGTTCGAGGATCTTTCCGTATATTTATTTCATGTTTTAAGACTTTTATGTTATAATAGCATATTGTTTTGGGTCATTATAATAATATAGATTGTTGTGTGGTCCAAAATAGAAATTAAGTTCATTTTATAGAAATAGTTTTTGTGGTCCTTCCATGTATTTAAAATAATTTGTGTGCTCCTCCCATTTTATTTTTGTTAACTTTGATATCATTATATTGCAGTATTTGGATCTTAAGCCTATGTATTGGTAAAAATCATTTTTTTAAAGGTATAAATAGAGTATTTACACACAAAAAGGGTAAAAGAAGGGCAGACACAGTTTAAGGTATTATACAACTTGACCACCAATTCAGAAAACAGAAAATAACCATTTTTATAACTGAATTTTCAGAAAATAATTTTTAAAAAATTGAACCAAACTGATTTTTTTTTGTACAATTAATTTAATAGAAAATTATTTCCATAGTTACAATCCAAACACACCGCTACGTTTGGTGTGGAAAAATGGAATGGAATGGAATGCCCATTCCAACTATTCATTTGTTTGGTATGCATACCAACTTAAAGTGGAAATGGCCATTCCATTAGAATGAAATTTTATTCCTGAGAATGAAAATCCATTCCATAACTAAACCTATGGAATAGCCATTCCATTTCCAAGTAATTTATTTTAAAAAATCGACTTCCCAAAACACCCTCATATTCCAAGTCCAAAAATCACCATTACCTTCCATCACAATCATCTACTTTCCCCACCACCACCACTACCATTACTACTGCCTTTCACCACTACCGACTTTCACCATCGCCCACCACTTTCCACTACCACCACTGCTACCGCCTTTCACCACCGCTACCGCCACAGTTTGCCGTAACCACCACCTCCGTCTTTCACCACCGCTACCGCTACCACCTTCCACCACCACCATTGCCATTGTCTTTCACCACCTTTCACCACCACCGCTGCCATCGTCTTTCACCACTACCACCACCTTCCACCACCATCGCTGCTACCGCCTTTCACTTCCACCACCATCGCTGCTACCGCCTTTCACTACCACCACCACCTTCCATTACCGCCACCGCCACCGCCGCCGCCTTCCATCACTGCCACAGTCACCTTTCACCACCACTGCCGCCTTCCACAACCACGAACAACGCCGCCGTCGCCTTCCACCACCGTCATCGCCTTCTACCACCTTCCATTACCACCATCACCACCACCACCACCACCACCGCCACCACTACCACCGCCGCCGCCTTCCACCACCACCACCATCGTCACCACCTTCCACCACCACCACCGCCGCCACTTCCATTACCTTTCACTACCACAATAGTCACACCACTATCTCTTTCCACCACAAACACCACACTACTGCCACCGCCTTCCACTAACACCACTGCTGCCACCAATTTCCACCATTGCCACCACCGCCGCCTTCCAACACCACCACCTACACTACTACCGCTTTCCACCATCCACCACCGCCACTGCCACCATTTATTTTAAAAAATTATTAGAGAATATTATTTTGTTAATTTATTTGTTAATAAGAGGGATATTTTGGAGAATTCAATTAAAAATTTATTCTATTCTAAATTTTAAATTGGTTCAATCAAACACTAAAATGGTTATTATCATTTCATTCCTACACATTTCATATTTACAACCAAATAATAAAATGAGAATGACGATTCCATTCCATTCTCACTTGCATTCCATTCCCACTTGCATTCCATTCCATTCCTACACACCAAACGTAGCATTAGTTTCAACTCCCTATATCACAAAATAGAAAGGAGTGGCCACAGGCCTAAAGAAAGGGATGAAATAGATCACCCATTTAAAACGAGAATTCCCTTTCAAGTACAAGGATGCTTTCACATTTATCTTACAGGAAGGAAAAAAAAAAAAACAACATGCTGATAAGCATCTAGAAAGTGCAACTTACGGAAAATCAATGTTAGGAAATTAGTATACAATTGTCTCACGGTGACCTCAAGTCTTCATTGCAGGCCTCACCAGCCCCAATCCACTCCCACTTCCCAGATGCTTGAAGTCTCTTGCTTCAAGTTGATCTCCATGGCCAGCAAAGCCTGTCCCTCCTTTGGACAAAACCACCAAATTCCTCTCTTTGCATCCCTTGTTGCAGACCAAACAAACCTTATCAACAACCATGAATTTATCTGCACACTTCTTGCAGAAGACGTGCCCACACGAGCTCAAGGCCACAAGCGACAGTGTGTTTGTCAGAGTGACCTTGCAGCTAGGACAGATGAGGGTCTTATCAAGAGATTTGGATTTCTGTTCTGTGGTGTCTTCCGTGAAGTAGATTGGAAAAAGGGTTTTCAGCTTGAGCTTTTCACTGCCTTCTGGACAAGTTGTATTTGTAGATGGAGCTTGTACTTTAACAGAAGCTTCTGGTGTAGCACAGGGCAGCCAAAATGCTTTCATGGTTCTGAGTGCTTCTTCTTCGTAAGAAGTAGCCTTCACACTGTTCGCCCCATGGAAGCCATTCTTGTCTCTATTGTAGCTCTTATCGTTGTATTGTGGTACTGCACCATGGTTTTGCTGATCAAATGCATCAAGCTCTCTGGCTTTCTGCACCATTAACTTCTCCTCTTCCTCTTCTTTTTCTTGCTTTTTCTGAGAAGCATGGGCAACCAGCTTCCTGCCAAGGAATATAAAACATATCTTTCAGCACAGATTGACATAATAAATAAGAAACAGACAAGAATAGAAAGAAGGTGGTTACAACACATGCGTTGAGGTGTGCAGTTTGCAGAATTACAGTAACTTATCCTGTTAATAGTGTTATGATTCGTGGTTGCACTAAAATTGATAAAAAGGAACCTGCAAAAGATATTTCCTTTTTGCTTTAACCAATCAAAGTGAAAATTCATAAAGAAATATTCCTCTTGTAGTAATTTACTGAAAAATAAACAAACACGCATTGATATTACTCTTGTAGTATCAGATATGGGGCCATGGGCCCTCTGAACTTCACCTGGGAGTAGTTGAAGCCAAATTTTCAGTGATATATGTTAAAAAAATTAAGATTAAGATTAAATTTTCAGTGATATATGCTAAAAAATTTAAGATTAAGATTAAATTTTCAGTTCGATGTGTGTGTCTGTGTCATTTTGTGACCATGTCCCCTGTCAGGATGTCTATGCTTTCTAGGATAAGATTTTGTACAACATAAGAAAAATCAACACTGCATGCATTTTGCATATTTCATGCTTTAGTTTTTTTATTATTAAAATAAAAAAGGGAAAAGGACATGACTAATTTCATCGACATCAACATCTTTTGGTCGCATCTATGCAATGAAGCACGGATATGGCGTATGGCCACAATAGAATATGGACGCAAGAACATAGCGAATCCTTAGCCATTTCTTCTCTCAATCATTCAACCATAGCACACAAATGAACAAAGATTGTTATTGTTATGGTTACTGCACAGCCCATTACCCATAACATTATTAAATCATCTGCCCTCCCTTGCCTAAATAAAATCTACAAACGCGTCAACATTAATGCTCATAATAAACAGTGCCTTATCAGATTCTAATCTTTCAAGCAAAACTGCAAAAGCATAGGTTAATTGCATTTACAGCAGGTCTTACTGACCACTACCAGATGAATGTCCAACAAGGTGATCCTCAAAGTCAAGGTCAAGTAGTCCATCTACCATTGAAATGTTAAAACCATACTCACTCACTGCACACTTGAAATATCTCTTCCATCACCATGACTATCCCTAAGCTAAGAGAGGACTTACTGCCCAGATGCTCTAAGAAAAGGAGCTCCTTCCAGTATTATTTATTTATAGATAGAAAGAATTAGAAGCTATGAATGAAATGAGCATCCCAAAACTGTTTTATTATCACCAGCTTTTTTAATTTCTTATTTAAGGCACAAATTGGAAAATGCTTCTCCATAGTCCTCTGCACCAGGAATGACCCATCATCATCTATATGCAACATATATACATTCCAAATTGATAATTCAAAGCATGCATGTTTGACAATTTAAATTAGAAAACATAACATACTATCACACTTACGGCCTCATAAGATAACCACTACAACCATATCCTAACAAACATGATATATCAAAAAAATTCTTATATATATATATATAAAATCTCAATTTTTTAGATAATTAACCAAAATTATCAAAAAATAGAACCCTATTCCTAATCCAGTCTTCAAAATTTCTAATCCCGCAAAAAGTTAATATTTTAAACTAATAACTACACACATCAAAATATAGATTCTAAAACATGAGCTAGAGCTATTCAATTGATAAAAAAGAAAATTCAATCAAACTATAGATTCCAAATAAGATAGATATGTTTAGTCAATTACACCATACGAAGTCATCAAACTGGCACAGTAAACTACCAAAGAACAAAAAAACAAGCAACCGACCTTTGAATGTCTTTCTTCTGAGACAACAAGCACTCAAGAATGCACTCCTTACAGAAGACGTGACCTTTTTGGCAACACATCGGATCTATGAATGGTTTCAAGCAGAGACAACAAGCGTCGAACGGCTTGATCGAGTCCCTGCCGAGCCTCTCCTTCTGAGTTCCGTACCCGAGCTTTCGCTTCTCATCGTATGTGAAGAAGGCGAGATCATTGTTGTTCTTCGAATGTCTCTGAGGCATATTGCAAAGAAAATCGAAACCCTAATATAGGAGAGAGTGATCGAATTGAATGATTGGGGCAGATGATTGACACAGATCGGGAGTGGATTGTAAACCCTAGAAATATATAAATCACAATAATCAGTCCGATCTAGTAATAGATATCGAAATTACGACATACGTAGATATATATATATATATATATATATATATATATATATATACACGAAGTATATTGTACTCCGTAACTAGAAAGGAAGTTTTTATGTACTTCCCCACACGGAAATTTCGGTGTCCATACGCTGTGGGGTCTCAAATCTATGATAATCCTAGCCAATGATGATCAGTCCGTCTGATCATAGGACAAGATGTGGGACCAAAGAGTGTGAGATGGACCCCGCACAACTATGAGTCTATGCGGGATCAGTGTGCACACCACCCACTCCTGATCATTAACTCTAATTTCAGAAGTGTGGGCAACTGTGGTAATATTTTATAAACCAAGATAATTAAGAATTTGTGTCAATATATACTACGTATATATATATATATTTTTGTTGGCTTCTGTCGGAAAAACTAAAAATAAAAACTCAGTCTTGGACCATCTAGCTTTTAATAAGAAAAAAATGAAGCTAAAAAAATTGATGTACAAGTCAACTAAAGTTAGAATCCCAGGCAAATAAAAAAAAAAAAATTATACTGGCAAATTGCCTCCGTTCAATTAATGACTATTTTTATTTTAAAATTTGATCACACATTTCTTCTGTTTTTTACAAACTCAATCAACTTTTTCTCATACTCGTTGTTGGACAAGAGTTCACAATTTGTTACCAAAAAAATTTCCATACCATTCCTTACTCAGCAACTTTCCAAATTAGAATAGGAATCTAATTTAGACAGAGACATATTATATAGACTGTAGTTGTTTTGTAACTTTTTGACCATCCTTCAAACAATTATCACGTTTAATTGTGATGGACTAAACGGGTCCAATTAGGGATGGTAACGGGAGTAGTTTTGGAAGGGTTTATCTTTTCTTGTTTTCGCAACTGTTTAGAAATCTTCGCCTCCTTTTCGCCCAAAACAACCTAAAAATGCCTTATTTAGTTCAGAATTTCTCCTTATTTTTTAATTTTTTTTCCTTAAATACAATTATATAACTATTGAAAAAAATCATAAAAAATGGGCAATTAATAATTTAACATAGGTATAAGCGTTCTTAGTTCGTAAGCCTCCGCAACTCACTAGAACAGTTGAGAAAGTGAGTGAATATGACTTAAGGTTTCTAGAGCTAACTATATATACTAATAAAATAAAAGTAATTTACTCATTCTATCTCAAAAAAAAAAAAAAAAAAAAAAAAAGTCATATTTTCTTTTTTGGTCTATCCCAAAATAGTTGTCACTTTCTTGTTTCAAACAATATAGTTTGCATCTTTTCATATATGTCATTAAAGTTAAAAATTTCAAACTTGAATATTCAAAATTTAGAAGGGCAAATTAGTAACTTTTCAAGTAAATAAGCCACCTCCCATGTGTCCCTTTAAAAATTCACTCCCCAAAAGTAACATCTAAATTGAGACAGAAAGAGTAGTAATTTACCTACTTAGATGGGGCGCGGCTCGGTAGGGTGGGGTGACCTCCCCTAATCCCCGCCCTTGCCTGAGTTTTCATTACTAAAAGTCATTCCCGTCCAAATAAGTTATTTCAAAAAATCGCTATAAATGATTCAAGGACACTCTATTGGATTATTTTCCTTCACAATGTTGGGCTGACTTGATGAATTAAACTCGATCCATTTTCACTTGGACAAAGGAAAGATGTTGAACACAGTTTGGATGTAACGAAACAATGAGCATTTCTACAATTTGAAGACCAAAACCCATCTCTATTTTTCTTCATCCACTATTACAGACACTTGCAACCTTAACACTGATCTTATCCGGTTGCCTCTTTTTATTATTTATTATTTTTATCTTTTATCCAGTTGCCTTTTATATAATATTATAAACAACCAATTAGACAATTAAATGGTAGATCAATGAATGAATAATAACTTAATCATATATATTGTAAAAAACATATATAGTGGTTTTGAAAATGATTCTAATCTTGCAATGCTTTCAATATATAACATATATAAAATAGAAATTATTATCAATAGCTATTTAAATTAGTATATTTATTATTCTAGTTCAAAAAAGTGTTATCTTATCATTATTTAAAGTCTTACAAAAAAAATCCTACCCTTGTCATTTTTAAAATTTTTATTTTTATGTGAATAAAGTTTCATCAACATGTCTCTCAAAAGGATCGATGGCCATCAGTAAATGGTATAACCTTTCTATCCTCGTATGAGAAGGATAGAGAGAGCCGGCTTCGTCAATATGTATGTGATTACTTATCTTATAAAAAAGAAGAAGTAATAATTAAACTTTTTTTAAAAATATCTTTGAAAAATCACATACATTATTAAGATTTGCTTAACTTGTAACTTAGTTTCTTCTTTCGATCTTGATTCAAGTTTAAGCTTTGACTATAAAAAATAGCTCAAATTCAAACATGAAATTGAACCAAACAAAATAAACTGGATCAAATTCTAAAGTCTGGTTTGGCTAGTTTATAAACCTTTTCAAGGACTTGGAAAACTAATTAAAAAAAAATTATTAATCCATGTTATTATTATTACTATAATTTTAAACTAAGGCTAGATTTCAATTAGTTTTCTCAAAAATAATTTCCAATTTCCAATGACAACCATATAGAATCTTATATTGCTTTTCGAATTTCCACGTTTCATCAAAAATGCTCCACTGGACTTTAAGCTGAGTTTTGCGTGCAGCCAAACGAGCACCGATCTGTGTCGCAGATATTCTCCACGCCAGTATTATTCTGTACCAATCTGTAACTCATTGCATGTCACGACCCCACTCGCCCAAAAATAACTCATTCTATATTTCCCAAGACTTTTTTACATATTCAACCAATCACATCCTCACGTCCCCTGAGTTCCACTGCTCCCCACCTCACCAAATCACCTCACCTCACCTCACCTCTTCCCAATTCTTCATCAACAAACCCCAGCACCCTCTACACTCTCTGCACACAAATTACACTCTCTGCACACAAAGCTACATTTCACATACTGAAGAAGATATAAACATATACAGTATATATATATATATATAATTTTATATATAGGCATGGCATCACCGAACAAATCGCCGGAATATGACCGTCCACCGGCGGCGATCCTAGTCCAGCCGGCGTCCCCTCGATTCCCACTCTCACAATCGGGGACTCCCACTGGGGCCCACCGGAAGATCGCGATCGCCGTCGATCTGAGCGACGAGAGCGCCTACGCCGTGAAGTGGGCGGTGCAGAACTACCTCCGCCCCGGCGACGTCGTGATCCTCCTCCACGTGCGTCCCACGAGCATCCTCTACGGCGCCGATTGGGGCGCGATCGACCTATCCCTCGACACCGACACCACCACCCAGGAGTCTCAGCAGAAGCTGGAGGACGATTTCGATGCGTTCACGACGACAAAAGCGAACGATTTGGCTCAGCCGCTTAAGGACGCTCAGATACCCTTCAAGATCCACATAGTGAAAGATCACGATATGAAGGAAAGGCTGTGTTTGGAGGTGGAGAGGTTAGGGTTGAGTACGGTGATTATGGGAAGCCGAGGGTTTGGTGCTTCGAGACGAAACACAAAGGGGCGACTTGGAAGCGTGAGCGATTATTGTGTGCATCATTGTGTTTGTCCTGTTGTGGTTGTTAGGTATCCTGATGATAAAGATGGAGGAGTCGACAACGGTGATGGCTCCGGTGTTGCTGCAAAGGCGGTGGAGGCTGGCGCCGGACTCCATACGGTGCCAGAGGAGGAGCCGGAGTATCACGATGCATCTGATAACCATGCAGGTTTGGATTCTACTTCTACGTGTAATCTACAGCTTCAATAAGTGCTTTCATAATCTTAATTGGCTTACTTTGTTGTTAGAAATGTGACAATTAGTAAGACTTTGTGGTATGAGATAAAGGCAACGATAATGGGTTAGAATTTTTTGAACTAAGATAATTTTTTGTTGAAAGTTCAATGATGCTGCTTCAAAGTTTGTAGTTTTATATTCTTATTTTCCAATAGGAATTAGGGTTCCATTATTCTTAATTCATAAATCTTATTGGATGACCAATTCAGTGAAAATGAGGGTTTTTGTTTTTCCCTTAATTTTTAATTTTTTTATTTGTCACTCAATTTAGTTTTGTTTGCTTTATTTTGATTAATTTTAGGTTTTTTTTGCTAACTCAACTTCAGAGACTCGGTATATTATGTTGGAAAAAAGAGAAAAAAACAATTAAAAAATCTTTTTGTTGTAGTAAATGTCATAGTGGACTTGAAAGTTCCTTTCTTCGTATTTTTTTTTCTTCGTTTGCGTAATTGACTCATTGTATTAGTCTGTATGGATCATGTTATGTGCCCAATTCAATTTGTTAATGTGTGACACTTGTGGGTTTGCCTTGAAACTTATGATTCTTATATCTAGCTGTGGCATCATATCATAAGCTCACCGTTTATTTTTTGACATGATGATATCCTTGCTGCCAATTTTTCTTGTAAGTTAAATTCCTTGTGTGCTTCTCATTCGATGTCTAGATCAGTCTTACACCCCAACCCCCCTCCCCTCTTCCTCCTCTCTCCTTTTTAGAGGTCTTTTAATTTTAAATAGATTGTTGATTCAAATGTTTGATCAGTTTCGTGCAGAAACTATGGCTATTCATTTCTAGCGAGGTTTAAGTATAATCCCTTATGCCATCTGAGGTTGCTTTTTTCTGTCTAGACAGCGGTGTTAGATGCGGTTTTACGACTGACAACTTGATCTTGATTAATTGGTTCTCTCCAGTCAATATGATTTTTGGAATGAATTTGGAACTTTGGATCAACTTCTGATTATCTCTCCTTTTGAGGTACCCTTAAGAGTGTTAAAGCTGTAGAGCTTAGGATGCTGCAGTGACATTTCATTTGCACATTTGCAAAGAGATTCTCTCTTTAGTGGGGAAAGATGAAATTGGAGTTCTTTTAGGATGATCTATTGGTAGACAGGATAGAAAGTTATGCATCTTGTTCAGAGGGACTCTCTCTCACTCTGTCTTCAGGTTTTATTTCCCTAGGACCTGATTGGCCCTCCGACATAGAATTCCCATCCAATTCTCTGTCTTCCTTCATCTTCCTATTCTCGGCACATACTTTTAACTAGCCCTTTTTTTGGCCGGCCTCTCTCCATATCAGGTACTTCTTTCACTTATAGAGTCAGTGGTCTTTGACCTCACTTACCTTGCTCCCTTTTAGGTGGCCATAGATGGCTATATTGGTAGATAGGATAGAAAGTTATGTATCTTGTTCAGAGGGACTCTCTCTTTCACACCATCTTCAGGTTTATTTCCCTAGGACCTGATTGGCCCTTTGATATATGAATTCCCATCCAATTCTTTGTCTTCTTCCTTCATCTTGCTACTCTCGGCACATACTTTTAACTAGCCTTTTTTATTTTTATTTTTTGCCAAATTCTCTCCATATCAGGTACTTCTTTCGCTTATAGAGACTTAGGCCCCGTTTGGATTGGCTTTTCAAATGTTGCTTTTGACTTTTTGGGCTTGGAAGCTATTTTGAGTAGTATTTGACTAATTTATTAAAAGAGCTTTTGGGTCTTGGAAGAGCGTTTTGGAGAAGCTGGTACCCTCTAACTTTTTCAAAATGCTCTTTTGAAACAACACGGGAAGAGTTTTGATGTTTTAATGAAACTATAGAAAGAAAAAAAATTATTGAAGAAAGAATTTATAAAATGAATTAAATATATATTATGTTGAAAAAAAATAGAAGAAAAAACTAATTAGTTAATTGACAGTAAGAATGACCTACTTATAGTAGAATTAAGTTTGTTCTTGCGATGAGTGTTTTGGACCATTAACTCGTTCATGTGGTTTATTAAATTTCTTAAACCGTGAAATGGTTTTTGCAATCTATTATTATTATTATATATGGGGTATGGATAAATTTTATTATATTGAATAGTTTATTTTTATATGTTTAAAAAAGAGTGGTATAAAAAAAAGGTTAAACTACTTTAGGTTGAAAAAAAAAAAAAAAAATCATCTAAGGGCAAAATAGTTATATTAGTGGTAGAATAACTTTAATAAATGTTTTGCTAAACAGACAAAAAAAAATAATAACTCTTCTAGGATTAAAAGCTCTTCTAAGATGCAGTTCCCAAACACTAGCATATGAGCCAAATATAAGTGATAGCTTCTACTTCTCTTTTTCTGCTGTGTAAAAGCAGAAGTAAAAGCTATGCCAAATGGGACCTAAGTGGTCTTTGACTTCACTTACCTTGCTCTCTTGTTAGGTGGCCGTAGATGGCTATATTTTCTCCATCTAAGTGGATCACTTGGGTTGTCTGGTGTTAATGTTGTATGTTATTTTATTTTTTTCCGTGTTCTATGTAAGTTACAATAGTCTAATATTTTGATAATGTATGCGCAATAACTCAGACTCTGAAAATACAAGGTTTTGAGCTTATTGCATTGTGGTGTTTTCTAGTTCTGTTAATTTAATGACTTCGATTTTCCTTTGTGTTGGACTAAACATTAAGAGGAACATAAATTAGACCACAGACTAACACTAAGCGGCGCTTTTGTCGTTATTGTGCCGCTATAAACCTCATGTTGATGTGCGTTGTTGGCAAGAACTGACTCATTCGCACTAAGATGGGTTGGAATTGTATGCTTTGTTTGATTTATAGTTATTGATTTTTTTCCCCTGACAAGTACCTGACTTGTTTGCACCAAAATGGTGTAACAACTTTAAGTTAGTTTATATGTTGTTGCTGACTAGATTTGTTTCTCTTTTCTTCAATTTTCCTTTTCTTTCTTAGGGAAAAGAAGCCATTGAGGAAGAATGGAGGGGCCGGGGGGGGGGGGGGGGGGGGGGGGGTTGGGGAGACAGTTTTTGTGGGTTTGTAAAGGAGCATTGCACATGGTATATCCCTGCACTTGACCTTACCCAGCCTCTTAAATGCTGATGTCTAACCATTTAGCATTGCATGGGTTACATTCGTGCCTTTTCCTTGGCCAGCAGTTTTTAGTCTTTGCTGAAACAAAAATATAAAGGTTGAGCCTCAGGTGAAACCTTCTTGTCACTACAAATGGAGATGGAAGCATTAAAATACTTTATATGCTCTTTAGGCCCTAACCGAAACATGAATAAAAGGCGTTGATGGACTGTAGTGCTAAAAAACAAAGTGTGACATTGGATAGAGCATGAAGTGGAGCAAGATCTAGGACCTCTAGGTGCTAATAGCACCTTCTTAACCCTCATATATGGATCAAGACATATGGTGGATAGATTATGAACTCGTCTAGGATTATAAAGTAAATTCTGAGGTTATTAACAGGGCTGGTGAAATGTGAAGTCCTACATTAAATGGAGGGGAGTGGGGGTGAAGGCAAAATCGGGAGCAATCGGCAGAACTTAAAAATTTATTCATGAGTGCAACTCCACGGTAGAATGGCTATACATGAGTTTAGACAAAACATTGTTGGGTTGAGTTGAGTGCAGTTTGAGTCTATAAGTATTAATACATAAATAAAATTTTAGCATAAAATAAATATTGTCCTAAAAAAAGTTGTTATCATCACTAATTAAGGATGCTACTTCCAAATAATTGGTGGAATTTTAGGAAAAATTATAGAACAGTTGGGTTTTTCTAAAGTTACAAAAAATAAATTAGGGGGAAAAAGGAAATTTTATTTACACAAAATTTGGTTCTATTATAAATATATTAAATCAAAAATTTAATTTAAATATATTGAATTAACAGTTACAGCAAAAAGTTTTCTGGGACCCTTGTTCTCTTCTGCAAAGGACAGAGAATTGCCACTGCCTTTACAACATAGGCTCCATCAGCTTCAACGTCATCTCTTTCCCCCTCCCCCTATCTTCTTCCCCACATTTTAGGTTTCAAATATATCGATGAGAAAATTTATTACTTATTACTTATGGATTGGAAAGAGAAAAGGAATCCAAGACATATAATATGAGTATGCGGAATTGGATATGATGGTGGTGATGATCGGATTTGGGATAAACGTCCATGAAATGCCTTTGAATCTGCTCTAATCACTGATTCATAATCTGAGCACCACTTTGGTCACTTTGATGTGCAGATTCTATGACTAAGGTCTAGCCTGCTATAGACACTTACTTTTGTTATAGGAAAAAGATAATTGTTTAAGAATGTAATATTTGTTGAGCTAGATCTTCAAGTTATGAAATCATTAAATTTTTATACTTTTTTTTTAAAAAAAACATATTTCTTATGCGTTAAATAGTCACTACCTTGTCTTTGTCCTTACTTTTCAAGATTTCTTGACATATTCGTGTCACGCCATGCTTGTTTCCTTTTTCTGCATTTGTTTCCCTGCATACTTTAGCGGGCTCAAAACAGTTCAATTTGGCTGATTTGCATTGTTGAATTGAGGAATGATAAAAAAAAAGGTTGTGTTGTTGATTATTTTTGTAAGGGATGTAAAGTATACGCCATTATTACTATTGGAATATGTTTTGGACAGTTCTTGTCTGAAGCCAGTCCTTGTTCTTTCAGGGCACTTGGTTCCTATTTGCTCTTGATAATGGCTGCTCAAGTAGTCCTTTGTATATTGTTATATACACACTCCGATACTAGTATGATGTTTAAAGTTGTCTAGTAAATCAGTTCTATCAATTCAACTTTATGGCATGTAGCTGCATCATGCTGATGAATGGTCTTAGCAGATTATGGAATTTTTTTTTTTTGAATGGTAGATTATGGAAGTTGTCTACTAAGTCATTATGCATTATATAATTTCAAGTAAGTTTCTTGAAGGTAAAAAACACAGCAAAACATCAATAATATTTTAATTAGAAGTTAGTATCTTGATATGCATTTTGAAACATCAGAATCCAAGCTTCATTAGATTTTCGGATAAAACTTTAGTCTTTACTTTTTGGTCTCAAACCTTGCTCTCAACCCAGTTATTGGCTGTAAATCCAGGATGTTCTCATGTATTAATTAGTATGGTTTGCTTATGTAGTGGAATTAAATTAGATTGGGGCTAAATCCACTCATCCTTTTGCTTGTGTACTCCATATTGGGAACAAGCTTCATATTGCTTGAGGTCAAAATTGTTGATTGGGTGCTCCCTTTTTTATTCTTTTTTTTGGCTGTGTATTCTTCATGTGTATGGGGTCTGCACCAAAGCTTCACTAATATATGGAAGTCATTTTCTTCTGAGTAATTCAAATTTTACTTGCATGTTAGCATTTGCGATTCTTTAACTTGCCCTTTTGTGGTGGATTGGGGGTTAAATTATATGATCAAATTTCAAGGGATAAAAATTTGTGGGATATACATTATTATTATTGTCATTATACTTTTATTATTCACATTATTTAGCAACTTTTAAGAACACTCTCTATACTTCGTTGCTTGGTGTCTGCTTGGTGAAGAAGTTTCATTTACAGGTACTGTCTTTTACCCCTCTCTTGTGACAGAACATGTTAACACTAATAAGGGAAATGTTATGTACTTTGCTACACTAGCTTTACAGTCGCAGATTTTATTTTATTTGATAAGTAACTTTACAGTCGCAGATTTTATTACATAAAATACTGCTTTATGCCCCAATGAGAGGTTGTATGGATTTTGACGCATAGTTGGAGTCTGATACATTCTGTTGGATGTCATTGCATTTTAGAAACTTGTCAAGAGAGATCAAAATTGTTTTGCTGCATGCTTCTTATTCTTTCAACTCTTTGTAACCTATTGTAACTCTGCACAGGAGGTTGAGTTTAGATTTCTCCTGCTAATGTAGCATACTGTTCTTTTGAGGTGAGTACCTTTTAGGAATCCCTCATCATGGTCTTGACAATACCTGATTAATTAAGAATATGCTGGGCCCTCAGAACTAAAGAATTCCTTAACATTTTTTGTGCACAGCCATGTCTTCACTTCCACTGCCATCTTTGATCAGAGTGTAGTGTTGAGGGAGAAACAAGATTGTGTGCATGTAGTTGGGATCTCAGGTAGTTAAATGGCTTTGTTGAAAAAATTCTTCTTTCTAACCCCCGATAATGGAAAATTAGAGAGGTACTATGACCAAGCTAGGCACATGCAGGGTTTGCCAGGTATTACTGGCCGGACCAAAACCCTGAGATAGTTGGGTACAAAAAGCCATCATTATATGATTTGTGAACCATTTGGTCAAACATCTGTTAGTAGTGTGTAGTCTGGAAAACATTTACATTGTTCTGGAGTGTTGGACAGTGATTAAGCCAGATTCCATGGGTAAAATGACCATTCCTCTTTTTGCATGTTGACATCTGGTGGAACTGAATAATTCGTGACCGTGTATCATCTAATTTGAATCCAGCATGGAACAAATAGTTTCTTTTTAAGTTAGTATATCAAGAATAATTTTATAATGTTTCTCCATTTAAAGTGTATTTAGTGTCATATTTTCTGTCCTCTTTCATTATGGTTTCACAACTTTCACAGAATCACATCTCATGTTTTTGTCATGAAATGATCTGAATCCAAGATGTCATATTTCACAGATTCAGATAAGGCTTCTTAAATAAATGGACGATGGGGATGCTGAGATGCCTGGGAGTCGGTAAAAATGATCTCTCACGATGTGGATCCATGCCATGTGAAAAATGTCGTGTGGTAGTGTTTGTCTCTCTCTCTCTCAAATCTATGACGCTTGGAGTGATTGGCTTGGTTGGTTCGTTGTAGGTCACCGATTAGGTTGTACTGCCTTCTTTGTGATGAGTTTTTGTAGAATTCATGTAATTACTGCTTTACAACCTTTTCCTTTCAGTTTTATTACATGTGGCCGGGAAGTTAGTAAAGCTGGTTTTGTTTTATGGTATTATTGTGAATTACAGCTTCTTCTTTCTTGTTCCTCATGTTGATATATTGTTGTTGCCTTGGGATGCGAGTTGTAGAAAGCTTCTATGCTGGGAGAAGGATCCTCTGTTAGCCTTGTTTCGTCGAGTCTTCATGCGAAATGGAACCCATGGAATCAATTGAATGTGTGGTATCACGTGTGCTGTTTGATCAAAACTCCAACATAAAAAGGCTCGGAGGATCCAAATCCATGTGAAACCTTGAGGTGAGGCTGTGTTTGGCGTGAATGACTATTGAGGCCATCTCTGTTTTGTCTACCTTTCCATTGTTGTAGGCTTTGAAACTCCTGTTGATCAACAGAGGCAGAAAAAACAACGTAATTGAACCTTGACCCTCGAGGTGGTGATCAAAATAATGCAAGACTTGGTGTCCATTTGCGCTGTTGTTGAAAAAAATTCTCTTTTTAATGTGTTTTGTAGCAGGGTAAAAAAAAAGTGCCTTTTAGTTGGTAGAAATTTTGGTTCAACAGAGCTTCTAGCCAAAGCTAAAAATGGGAACTTTTGCAAGTAGAGGTAAATATATATACATATATAGAGTCCTGGTCTCTTACTCCTCATGGAACGGTATTTTTTATATAGGCTGTTAGATTAAATCTAAATGTCATTTTTTAAACTCACTTGTAGCCTTTCTTTTTAACACAAAACTAATCTCACTCTATATTTAGTTTTTATATTTCATTTTACCATTATCACCCAATGTAACAATAAAAGGTAATTACTAAAATAAAATTAGAAACATTTGAAAAAATAATAATACTAGTATATTTTATTAAAAATTTGTTTTTACTTAGATGTTTCTCTTGAAAGAAACAAAGAAGAATTATAAGATAATTGATAGGGATTAGGCGATGATAGAATGCTAAGGGCAAATGATTATTCTTTATGGATAAGGTTGTGAGAAGAGCTTCACCAATTTTTTTTTTGGGTTACCTTGTTGTTTCTGAGGTGGATTCTACCGTCCCATCATAATCCGTACATCCAACTTAAAATTGAAATAAAAAGAATTTTTGTTTAAACTTTAAATAAAATTTTATTCAAATTCAATTCCAATGAATTAATTCGATATTCCAAAATGCAACATTACAATATATTTGTTGGTAAATTTACTTATACGAGAGAAGTATATTAATTTACTTATACTGAGAACAATGCTATAATATTATCATACTGTTGTTGTAAAATTGAAAGATACAGATATTGTTTTTCTTTCAAAGAAACATCTAAATAAAAACAAATTTTTAGTAAAATATAAAGGTATTATTATTATTATTTTTCAAAGGTTTCTATTTTTATTTTGGTAATTACCTTTTATTGTTACATTAGGTGATAATGGTAAAATTAAATATAGAAACTAAAAATATGTTGAGTGTGATTTTGTGTTTAAAGGAAAGGCTATAAGTGAGTTTGAAAAATATGTTGAGTGTGGTAATCTAGCGGCCGATATAAAAAGTGTGAATTAATTTTCTTACTCCATGGAGAGCAAGAGATCAGGACTTTTAGAACATGTTTGACAAGGTATTTCGTTCCAAGAAATATGAGAACAAAACATGTTTGGCAGAGTAAAAGTGTAACCAAAATTAATAAAACAAAATTGTAATAGTCCATTTTTTTTTATTTGATTCCATTTTCTGAGATAATTCAAGAATTTATGTCTTTGTAATAGTCCATTTTTTTTTATTTTAAATTTCAGATAATTTGAAATTCTTTATTTATTTATTTTATTAAAAGAGTCCCCAATTGCCATCTTGCAAAGTTGCGAATTTTATTAGAAGAGTCCCTTTAATCTCTAAACCTTGCTATTTTAAGTGTTTTTTAATACTTGTCATCATTAAAAGGCAATTTCATTGACATCAATAAGATAAAGCATTGCAATCAAGATCAAGATCTACTAACAAACACAAACAGGTCACACATCCGAATTTTATTGCTGATACAAAATACACACTGGAGGTACAAAGCAAGTACTCCAGCCAAAGATCAAACAAAAAATACTAACAAAATCAATCTTCCATACTGAGCCCAAGGAACAACCAAACCAATATCTCTTTTCTTGTCTTCACCAAGTCTGAGTTCCTCTCTAGTCCAAATTTGCCCAAAATTGGCACAAAATAGATTTCTAGCAACTTTGAGCTTCAAACCACTGGACCACATCCTGTAGATTAGTCTATTGAAGGACACCCTCCCATTTGCAGCAAGACATGAAGCACTTCCAAACTTCCTTAGCCAAGGAAAAAAAAACATTTAATTTGTTCTTAGTGTTGAAATGAAGCAACCATCATAGGCAATGCATAAGACACGCTTCAGATAAATTTTCATAGAATAAAATTTTCATTTCTCAAATCAAATCGATACAGAAATATTCATTTAACATACAGAAATATAAGTATCATGTGATGTCTCTGTCTATAATATATTCGTTATATATACTGTTAAGATGTCAAACTTGAGTTAACATTGATGAATTAAGTAGTTAATTTCCTTTGAATTATTACTTTTTCCATGTATTAAAAAATCTCCAGCCTTAGGCTATTCTAAAGTCTTGACCAACCACTAGAAAAATATCTATAGCTGAAGCTATATTAGTAATTTGTTAAAGTCTACTCTGGTTGAATGTTCGTTCTTTTCTAATGCGAGTTTGATTTGTGGTTCCGTCCCCAGATTCTATTCAGCTTTTCATCTTTAGGCCTACACTTTGTAATGTCAGATTGTGGACAGATATGGGACCTTGCACTTTCTCATGATCTTGCCTTTTATTGCCGTCAAAACCCATTGAAATTAAAGAACCCCTACCTCTCCCATTAGCAATTGCCTTTGTTACTGCTAACTTTGAAATATAATAAGAAAAATTAAATGAAAATATTTAAAACTTAAATATAGATTCGTCCATAATTTTTTGTTGGTATATTTTAATTACTATCTTAATATTATGCCTGATGGTCCTTAATCAATTGTATAGGTAGAGAATTTGGATTAATCAAATTGTGAAATAGAGATAGACAGCTTGGGGAGAAGAAGAGTGGACCTTTTATTGGCAAACCGTCGCCGGAGAAGAAGACCGGAGGTTGCAGACGGCGGCCGGCGTCTGTGGTTGTCCTAAATTGGCCGGAAAATCAGATCACAGATTTGTACTGTGGAGAGAGAGGCGATGAACACAGAGGCTTCAGATCTGCAGAGCCAGTCGTCGATTTGTACTGTGTAGGGGAGTCTTTGGCAGCTGCGACACTAATCGGCCGGAAATACAGAGAAGAGAGAGAGAGAGGCGATGCACACAGAGGCTTTGTACTCTGAAGTTCCAGTCGTCGATTTGAGTTTGAATCTGGCCAAATCTTCGAAATTTTAGCGAGAGATGAAAGATTGATAGTTAGACATGAAACCAACTTAGACATGAGAAGCTCACCACGATTTGCTCTTAAGCAGTAGTGGAGTGGCGGCGACTTGCCAGACAGCTTCTAGCCCTAGAACATGTTCCTATTTGTGTTTATAGTTGTTCTCAAATCAGAACAAGTGGTTTGAAGTGGTGCAGTTGCTACAGTGAAAGTTGGGCCTTGAATGAAGTCGGAACAACCAAGAACACCAATTTGGTGTTCCAAGATTTCAGCCTTTTTGACAATGTGTTATGCAACTGTGCAAACCAGCACAGCCCGGCCCAAACGTGTAGTGTTCCAAAAATGGCTTACTGTTCACTTTCTGGAGCAATACACCACACTACAGAAACCAAACCAGCCCTTAGGGCCCGTTTGGGAAGTGTAATGTGATGTAGTGTACTGCTTTAACTTAGAACAGAACAAGTGTTTTGTAATGTGATGTTTTGAAATGAGAATAAAACATGTTTGGTGTTCCAAGTTTGCTCTACCGGATCATGGAACAAAAACATGGTAGAACATGTTTGGTAATGTATATTGTTCTAAGAAATATAAGAACAAAACATGTTTGGAAGACTGAAAGTGTAACCAAAATCAGTAGAAAAATAAAATAATTAAATATGTTGGATTAAAAATGTTTTTAAATAATGTTTTCTTGAATACATTTTTTCTAACTTTATTAACTATAAAGTTAAATTTAATTATTGTATAATTTTAATACACAATTGATATAATGAGAAGTATATATATATATATATATATATATATATATATATATATATATATATATATATATTGTTCCTCCATTTATCTTAATTTATTATAAAAACCATTAAAATAAATTATAAATTGCAAAACCTGTTAATGCTGCATAGGTTTTTGACAGTTGTCCCCTACATTATTTCAATATGGAACTGAAATAAAGTTTCAATATATTAAACATTTCATGAATTTTAATATATTACATACATGAGTTTCAAAAATATTACAGCATCCGTTAACAGTCACAATAAAAGTTCATGAAATAAAATTAAACTTTCAATATTACATCATTTCTCAACAGCCACAATAATAAACAACAACAACGTGAGTAAAAACAGTAAGAATATAGTTATAGTAAGACAACAACAACATCCATAGATAATGTAGTTTTGCCGATTTTGTTGAGCTTGCATAATAGCAATTACATCATCTAACTCTTCCTGCACATGACCACCCACTTGCAGACATTGGTGCATGTCATCCAACCATATAAATGCACGATCATGTAACTAAATTAGAAAAAAGAGTTGTACATTATTAGAATGCACCTGTAACACTAAGATGTAGTTAAAATATTCTTACTAATGTAAAGAAAATTGTATACCTCCCAAGCTGGACATCTATAGAATGAACGTCTATAATTTTTAGAAGTTCCAGCCGTATAAAGATTCATTCGACCCTTTCCACATGCATAAGGTGGCCCGTCACCCTGTATCTTATACATGACTGCATATGCAAATTATAAGACTGATCCAAAGAAGTTAATAAAAAATATAAAGTTAATCAAAATAGTTATTACAATTATCCAAATCCTAAGAAAGAAATAAAATAAAGTAGTTGTTACAGTTATTCAAATACTAACAAATGGAACAAGTATAAAGTAATTATTACAGTTATCCAAACATAATAACATGTAAATCCTATTTCAAGGGTGATGACTTGCATTCCATATAGTATCAGCAATATAATCGCGTACAATATCCATTGGTCGCGAGCGAGACTGCGACACATTAGGTTGAACATCAACTTCATCATCTCCAAAAATTTCATCTATCATTGCCTCCACAGTTGCATCATTAAATATTGGATCTATATGCGCCTCCTTTCTTATAAAGTTATGAAGTGTGCAGTAAGCTAAAACAATAACAACTTGAGCTTCAAACTTATATGGGGGCATTTGCTTCAAGATGGGGAATTTCATCTTAAGCATCCTAAAACAACGCTCAATTATATTTCGTAATGACGAGTGCCTGTGATTATAAATTTTCTCTCTACCATGGGGTTGTCGATGAGCTCTACGGTACTCTTGGAAGTGGTACCGTTGGCCCCTGTAGGGAGCCAAGAAATCCGGTTGATTGGCATACCCGGAGTCCACCAAATAATATTTCCCTGCCATTTTACAATCTATAAGGCACGTTTGGGAATCATGATATTTTAAATAAGTATTGCAAAATTATTAGATGAATGACATTTACCTTCTGGAGGCATTGGGAAATGCAAATCCTCATTATTAATGATCTTGTTCAGTATTTTAGAATCATTAGCAGACCCCTCCCATCCTGCTACGACGTACGTGAACATTATATCAAAATCACAAACAACCATTAAATTTTGTGTTGTATCCCCCTTCTTACCACGAAATTGTATTTGTTGGTCTACAGGCACGTTCGCATGAACATGAGTTCCATCAATTGCCCTTACGCAACCCTTAAAAAAAGGGTGGTACTTTTTTGACTTCCTTATATGGTTAGGAACTTGGGTAAAATCTGGAGCGACAATAATCTGTTTCCCTAAATCACAGGCTTTTTGTAAAACCGTATGGAAGTATTTTGAAATTGTATAGATAGAGTGTTGAAATCTTTCTGCGACCACACGATTCCTTTCATTATGAACTAAAGTAAGCAAGAATATGCCAACTTATTCATAAACACTTACACCTGTTGAGTCTTTTAACCCTAATGACTTAAGCTCCCCACACAACTTCAAAAAAACTAAGGGTGGACATCCTGAAATTTTCAAAACATCTACTTTCATGTCCATGCAAGATCTCCATTATATATGCTTCCCCGGTTAAAAGAGAATCCTTATAAGGTCGTTTCTCGTAATGTTTCTTATAATAGTCCAACATACATGCCATTATGATGACACACTCATTCTCCTTATCACCATCATCATACAAGTCAATTATTGTCCTAATATTTATCTGTATAATGCAACATTTAATAAACATTATAAATTACAATCATCTCAAGCAAAATACCAAATAATAAATCAAAGCAAGACAACAACTAAAATTAAAACAAGCGAAATAGTTATATTGTCATTACAATGAAACCAAATAACATATCAACGAGTGTACTTAATATTACAATCAACCAAAGTCATAGCAAAAGATAATAAGAAATAAAAGCGACGCACCAAAAGTCATAATACGTACTAGTACAGTCATCCAAAGTCATAATAAAACCAACATGCCAAGTCAAATTCCATTGATCCAACCAACCCTCTTTTCATCAGGAAGGTCATTAAGAAAGAAATCCCTCCAAAGTTTATCATTACATAACATCTGGGTGACCTTAACATATTGTTTCATATCAACGCCCTCCAACTTATTCAAAATGTAACATCATAATTTAAAATCACCCTTTGTCTTATCTGGAGAATTGACTTCAACCTGCCCAGCTTCATGAACTGTTTTCATATTAGATGATGAAGAAGCGATTATGGCCCTTTCAATTCGATCTGTTTTCTCTCTACAAGTCTCACTCATTTTCTCTATGACACGATCCATTGTGGATGCAAAACTCTCTCTCCTTGGTTTCTTACCACGAGGGTCAGGAGAAGGAGTGAACTCATGATCGCCTAACTCAGCAAAATCATCATTAAGGTCAACTGAGGTATATGTGCCTTCATGGTGTGGGGGGGCTTGGTTGAGAATGGGTGGACTGTAGGATGTATAGACATGTGCACCTGTAGTGTGTGTGCCTCCAAATATGGTGGTGAGCTTGTTAAAATGATTTCATGGCTTTTTTCGATACTTACCATACTGGGCATTCACCTACAAATTATTAAATTACTATTAATATTAAGTTAAGTATAATTTTTTGTAAAATCAACATATATTTATTTAAAAAACTAACCTTGATCAATCTAGTCCATCTTTCATTTTCAACTATAACCATGCCCGTCTCAGCATTGTATCCCGCGCCTGTTTCTCCTAATAAACTCATAAAAGCTTTGTAGTCTACCCTCATGTGGTTGAATTTGCTCTTAAGTTGTTTCGGTTCATAGTTCTTGCCTGTACGGACCGTCATGCCTTTTCGTATATTCTTCCAACCATTTGGAGTAAAAGTTGTGTTATTCCGATTACCAGCCTGAACTTCTTCCTCTGTACAGATGATGAAAGCTTCAAGATGAGAATCATCCCATACTAGTTTTTCATCATCGGTATTGTCTGTAAGGTCCTCTATTTCGGAGTATACCACATTGTCAGCATTGATATCCATCTAATTACATAGTTTTAATAAAAATGTGTTAAAAGGGTCATTAACAACTGTAATCTCCTCTTAAGAAAGTACAAATACATTTACTAAGTTGTCATAATAATATGACTCATCATGAGTTCTACAACTTCAGTATCAGTAGAAGTTTAATTTAACCATAATTGAATAAGTATTGATTAGCCCTCAATTCAATGGTCTTGTTGATGTACTCTATATTATAATACCATGATGATGTTTTTTGCATTAACACTTATACATTTTCAATTGAGGGCAACGAATACCCTGTCTACTACAATTTTCAATTGAGGGCAACAAATACACTTATAAAAAATTCCACTATGTTCAATAACTGCTTCCATGTTGAGTTTCTTACAACTATAATCTCCTCTAAAGTCATTAAAACCTATTTCACCAGTGTTCCAAATCAAGAGTCACTTGAAAACCCTTATGCTTATGCAGCTTAATTTCAACACGAAAACCCACAAATCAACAATGGCATCTTGCAGACAAAGTTTCTGTGCACAATAAGGGGGAAATGGTGGAGGAAAAAAAAAAAAAAAGGCATGAACTTTCAGACTATATATTCCTTGAGGATTTTACAACGTACACAACATTAGAGGATGGGTTAATTTATTTGGTACAACAATTAGTGTAATATATATTTGGAGTCCTTCAGTGAGAATGCCGAGAAACTAGACATCAATAAAAATTATAGCTACCCCAATTAAGTACACTGTTAGGTCAAGGGAAGCACACAAACATGGAAATTCGACCAAAGCCAATAAACATATATCTATATACAAAAGAGAGAATCAACCAAAATCAAGCATCATTTTGAGTGTCTATAATCCATGTATCCATATATATACATATGTGTGCCAGTGTGTGTGTATATACACACAAATATAAATATACGCTCACACACCTGTTTGACGAAATGCCAAGTAAGAGCTGCTCTGAATTTCTAACTTCTAAATATTTTTGAAGAAATCCAAAATAGCGAGAAACTCACTTGGTGTCGACGATGTGAATCCGAGAGTGCAGAGAGCAGCGACGAGGTATGGGTTCGCCAGAAAGAGCAGAGCAGAGGTGAGACGGATGGTTTGGTCTTCAAATCTGCATACACAGCTTAGTGATTTGAAGCCCGATCTTCAAACAACTAGACTTTAATTTTATACACAGCACAACGAAATGTGATGAAGAAGAAGTAGAGGAACTCACCGGTGAGAGTACAGAGAGTAGCGGCGAGGTATGGGGTCGCCGAAAAGAGCAGAGCAGAGGTGAGACAGAGGGTTCCTCTCTTCAGATCTGTGTACACAGCTCAGCGATTTGAAGCCCGATCTTCAAAAAACTAGACTTTAATTTTATACACAGCACAACGAAATGTGATGAAGAAGAAGCATAGGAACTCACTGGTGAGAAGTGATTGACTCTCGGAAAGCTTCAACCCCGGTACACTGTGAATCGCCTCTGTGAATTGTCGAGAGAACCCTAGAAATATTCCACCTAATATATTTATATGTGTTCTCAGAATGCTCTAACTTTGGGCTGTTGTTCCAAGCTCTACAGTGAATAGTGGGCCGCCAATATTTTGGGTACACTTTGGAACACCAATTTTTTGTTCCGGAAATTGGCCCATTCTATGAAATTGTTCTTGCACTGTTGGACACAATACAACCCATCTTCAAACAAATTGGTGTCCTCAATAGTGTCCATTTGCACTGTAGGGAATAGCCCATCACAACATAGAGCATCTCCCAAACAGGTCCTTACTAGCCTCACGGATAATTTATGAAATTTAACCCAAAGCCAAATATTGTAACTTTTGCAAGTAGAGGTAAAATATATATAAAAAGAGCTTATTTATGAAAAAAAAAAAAAAAAAAATTACTTATAAAAAATGTTTTACATACTATGTTTTCAAACACTGTTTTATCTTCTAACGACGATACCTTTTTTTATTTTTTTGACAGCTCTAGATAAGAATTACTTGCTATAAGTGGGAACATTGTGAATGGCAGTTTCTTGATGATTTGACTTGAAAGGAAAAAAATCAATTGCCACTCAAATCTTGTACGCTCAAAGTACATGAAAATTGATGATAAATTGTGAGAATTTCATCAAGAATAGAACAACCAAATTTGAATCATAACATGTTTGATTTGAGTCCATTTTTTTATTGAACTGCAGGGAATAAGTTGAACCCACCATAAAGCTGTGATGACTCCGAGTGAAACAAAGGTGTCCTAGAGAAAATCTTTCTAGTTTAAAACAGTTGGAATTACCATAATACACTATATGGATGAGTAAAAAATTTTGATCCTCTCAATCCAAATCTCTCTCTGATACTTCAATCATGTGATCCAGCTTCACCTTCACGCACATCATTACGTCGGCGGAATTCAACTTCACGCATAAAAATATGGACCACATAATTGACGGTGAAATTCAGCCACATCATCAACAGCAACATACATCTATATATATATATATATATATATATATGAGGAATGACGAGTAAAGATTGAGTTGGGGTCTGAATTTTGTCTCGGTTCAAAAAATAAAAAATAAAAAAATTGTTAATCCTTTCTTTTATTGTAACCTAGTATATATGAGAATATATGTAGGGTTTGTGATGGGGTATAAGACAATATGTAAAGCTGTTTTAGAGTTTGAGAAAGAGAGTGAAAAAGGATTTGAGAATTCAAACATATAATTTACTGGATCTTCACCTTAAACGCGGGAATTAGTAAAACTATATAAATTTTTGTATCTTGTGTGTGATGCATGTTTATATAACTTTTTGTATCTTGCATGTGATGTATGTTTATTTGTTGTAGTGCCCGTTATCATGATTCATGAAGGATGTATCTTTTCATGATTCATGAAGGACGAATCTTTTTCATAGTGCATGTTAGATAATTCATTGTATTTCATGTCTTCCACCATTTAAAATTCCAATGGGCTAGCCTCATAAATTCTTCTTATAATTTTTTTAAAAATTTATTTTACCAAGTTAGATATGATTTCAATAATTGTCACGTTAATTCATTAAAAAAAAAAAAAAAAAATTCTATTAGTTAAATCACAATGTCACATCAATAATTTTCACGAAAACAATCATTTTTCTTGTAAACCCAACTTGCTACAAAAATACTAATATGGTTTATGTTAGGCACGTGGAAATGTCGGCGATCGCATCTCTTCATCCTCCTCGGATTCTACTATTAAATTTACCTGTGTAAATTGTAACCACATAGCATTGTTATTTTGCTACCTATATATACACTATATCTATATGTAGATTTATATATTCATCATATATCTCCTCCTTATATAAACCTCCCCAAGTCGATGTGATGACTCTCTGTATTGACATATTGTTATACTCTTTGTTAATTTTTATATGCCAATAAGGTTGATTAAAAATTATTATACAACCATAGATTATGAACAAAGGAGAGAGAAAAATAAAATAAAAAGCTATTATGAGATTCCATTCCCAACACATTTGCTTCAGATGTGATTGAAGGATTGACTTTAAAGGATTAAATTATCATAATCTAAACTGACACCTAAGTTGATTTAGAAGCAACTTTTATATGAATCACCGACATTACTCAAATTCGTCCACTAACAAATGTCGCATCGCAACATGTGTATCTATAGACATAGAAGGTATTCTTTGCACCAAATGATATTGTTTTACTATACGGATCAAGAGCGGATCGAAGAATTATGAATGAAATGGGTAAATATTTTTTTGGGTGGATTAATACTAGTAATACTTTTTTATTATTTATTTATTTATTTATTTTTTTTTTGACTGGGCTAAAATTGGCTTAAATTTTTTCTTTTTTTTTTGGGGTGCGCTCAAGTCCAGCAGAGCCCCCCTTAAATTCGTCCTTGGCACATATATGACCTAAGGCGAATCATATGTTGGGGTTATGCGCAACCTATTTTATATTCGTGATATACACTAAAACGACGTCATCTTGGTGTACAAGACCCCTCCAGACAGGAAGGATTATGGTCCGAGTATGTATATACACACATATATAACAAATTGAGCTACTTGTGTTAGAGGAAAATTCTGAGCCATTCAATTCTTTTAAACCTCACAGTCTCTGCTATATAATTCAAAAGAGAGGGACTGTGTACTTGTGATACATATAACCTTGAAAGGTAAATAAAACAGGGAACAGAAAAACTTGTGGCGCATGCAGGTTAAGAAAGAATACTCTCTTTTGAATCTTTTATCAATTGGTCATGTTCAATTTTCATGCAGACCTCTGACAAAGACTGTTCAAAGTGTCAATTAGGACCACGGAAGGAAGCAAAAGAATAAGAGGGTCAAAAGCAATGGCATCCACATGCCTCTTGGAACAGTAGGTCCCACATTTTCTTTGAAAATCTTTTTCAGCCATAACAAAATAGGACTCAATACTCTTGAAAAGACTTAAATTCTCTACTTTTCGCTTAAAAGGAAGCACGATACAATTAAGTCAGGTATTGTAATTGTGAACCATGCAGTTCTAGAGCGTTCATGCATCTAACTTCATTGTAGTGAAATTAATACACAGTGTGTCCCGACATGATTATTGGTTCAAAATCGTGTTTTACATCAATTGTAACATTGTACCTAATAAGAATTTAGTACGTTATCCCTTCCATTGTTGATAAAAAGTTTCTGCAATGGAAGATAGTCTATATTTGTCGTAAAGCTCTTTGATTGAAGCCTAAAGAAAATTAGCCACAGTTTTCATAAAAATAATCAGATTATATATATATATATATATATATATATATATATATAACTAACTTTATGCTAATCATGTTGTTGTAATAGTAAGCAACAAACCAATAATTGTCTGCTGAATCGAGGCAATGCTGATTAACAATGAACAGAACATTTAGTCCTTAACAGGGAAAATGGAAGTTGGGAGATAAAAACACACAGACACACACTAATTTTAAAGCAATTACAAGGTGATGTTTATAATAAGCTGCTGATGAATTAAGCTGTTAGACAAATACATGGACAGATCAAGAATTCAATGCTTTGAACGAACAGAACAGAGCAATTAATCTTATTATGCATGATTTATACATGTACATATAAATATGCACATACTATTTTGAAATCAAAGAAAAAGGGTTTCAAGAATACTACATGAGAACAAAGATCATCACTTTTAAATGACTCTACTGGACGAATTTTCTTCACTGCTAGAGTCGCCCGAAACCAGAGGCATAGAAGACAGAGGAACAACTTGATTGTCACCATCATCCTCGCCATCATTGTTGTTGTTGTTGTTGTCGCCATCATTATCATGATCATGGTGGTGGTGGTCGTCGTAGTCGTTATCATCATCATCATCATCATCTTCTTCTTCTTCTTCTTCTTCTTCGTCTTCATTGTTATGGTCTTCGCTATGGAGATCATGACGGTCGTCGTCAACATTGTTGTTGCTATTCACACAAGTTTGGCAAACTGAGACTGTACGAGGTACGAGCTTGGGGCCTGAGGCGGACCACGGGGTTGGAGACTGGCAAGTGTGGCAGAGAAGGGTTCTGGAGTGTTTGGCGACTAGGAAATTGGCGGTGTGAACTCTGGTATCGCAGTCCCAACACAGGTTTGCTTCATCTGAATCACAGTACATTCTTGCAGCAGACTTGCACAACTCGCATTTCTTCATTTTTTTTATTTATTATCTCTCTCTCTCTCTCTAAACTCTCTCACCTCTGATGTGTTTATTGTATCTGAATCTTGAATGAGAGCTTGTAATTCTAATTCTCTACTTCTATTTTATAATGCGTGTATCTCAATTGTTCTGGCAAGGACACGATAAAAGAGAAGAGAGAAAGGGAAAGAAAACTGTGGGAAAGAGGGCCAATTTGTAGCACTCACAGGGTATTTTCGGTAGAAAAAGTTAAATTCGGGATTGTATTGAATTTTTTTTAGCAGTCAAAATGAACAGGTTTAGAATGAAGACAAAAATGATAAGTTTAAGAAAACAGGTGTTCTATTCTTCTTATTCCACCTCTCCTAAAAATTGAAATGGACTTGTGTGTGTTAGCAGATGTGTTTCCAACATAATCATCCTTGTTGAGATCCTTACGTCATCTCTCCTGTCATATTATATTTGTCCTTTATTTATTATTATTATTTTTTTTTCCTTCTGTCTTAGACTTATTTTGTTTGAAGGTTGATTTGTATTTCTTCTCTAAATAAAGGGGAAATTACACCAATCTTCATTAGAAATTGGGCGAATTACGTACATGTAAATTGTTTAACATTTATTATTTTGATTTTCCTTAAATTCATTCGTTGGTTGCTGAAAGACAGACTTTGAGTGTGGAAAGTCAACAATGCCCTAATTTTTAATACAAGGAATAACACAATTTTCAGTGGCCGGTTGCCAGAAGGTGGCTTTGAATGTGAAAGTCAATAATGCTTCAATTTTCAATTCACCAACGGTCAGTGGCCTAATAGTATCAGTCTCTTTTCTTCTAAAGGAAGGTAAGGGGTTCAAGTCTCAGAAGAGACGAGTGTGTGTTAGTACCAACTATGGAAAAAAAAAAAAAAAAAAAAAAAAAAAAAATTTGTTCAAGGGAATGACAAATTTTTCATAAAAGGGAAATGCAAAATTGTCGTATAATAAAGTTTAGTCAACAGGTTTATCATAAAGAAAAGATTGAAGGTGTCGTTGAGCACACTCACTATAACGATGTTGTCCGTTTTGGGCCTGAGTTCACATAATTTTGCTCTTAAGTTTTACCCCAAAAGACCTCATACCAATTGAAATGTACAAATCCTACATATATAGCACTTTTCCTTTTCACACCCAGGGGATGTGGGATTGTGCACCTTTTTCCACACCTAGGAAATATGGAATTGTGCATCTGTAACTCGCCCAATGTGGTAATCTGCCAGTGCCTCTTGCACACACCCACAGCACACCTGCCCACAAAGTCGTCACACATGCCAAATCTTAAGGGATGTCAAAGTAATAAACGTTAAATATTCTACTTGTATATAATTTGCTCTAACTTCAATAGTTGCTAGTGTAATTTACCCTGAATAAATGATACGAGTTCAAGTTTGTTTGTGGAACTCGTTTATGAAAGACTAGATTCAAATAATATTTAGCTCGGTAGCAAATGATTGTAAACAAGAGTCGACTTTGGTATTGCAATAAGTTTGTTCTATTATAATTTAGGTCATGGAAATAAGAAAATAGCCTCTTCTAGAGTGGATTACAAAAATCTACACACCTAAATCTTTTAGACCCTGAAATGACGGAAGGCCTGCGAACTTGGGTAGTCCTTTAAACAAATACTTGTAAATGAAGAGTGTTAAATAACGTATGCCTAATTACACACAATATATGGCTCGAAAAAACTTATACTCTTTGAAGGTTTGGCATGTGGTTTTTATCCGCTCTCAACCATCAATCAGAAAAGTATATTGACACTATGCAAAAAGTCCCTTCTAACCCCCTATTTACGTATTGAAAGACATTATCGGCCTCCCTTAATGATGTCGCTTGTATAACCTTGCCTAGTTATAATCCCTATCAATTAATACTTAATAAATTAATAATCTTTTTTAAATAGTAAATTATGTCGGTCTTGACTTGGACCAAATTATTAAATTAATAATTTCGTTAAATTTATAAGATAATACATCTTAAAAATTTCCTTATAGGTTTCTATAGGTCTCACTTATGACATAAATTAATAATTTGGTAAGTACATAAATGACTGATTAAATTATAAATGTTTTAGTATTATAGATGTGTAATGAAGTACAACAAGAGTTTGTGTTTGTATAAATAGAGTTTGTGTTTGATTCAACACACTGCATGCATTTGATTAAATGAGTATAATACATTAAATTTTATTTTATTAAATAATAAGGACAATACATTTAATTTTTGGTTGGTTAAATGTTTCTTTAATTGATTAGATGAGTACAACACATTGAATTTTATTTTATTAAATAATAAGAACAATACATTTAATTTTTAGTTGGTTAAATGTATCCTTAATTGATTAGATAAGTACAATACATCGAATCTTCATTGATTAAATGAGTGCAATACATTGAATCTTTAAGATTATTGAGAAACTAAATGTTTTGAAAAAATATATATACATAAAACATCTTGTTAAATTAATAACTTATTAATTTATCAATAAATTATCCGTAAATTATTATTTTGTTTAATTAATAGAATTTATGTTGTCCGAGCGCTATTAATTTATAGAGGTTATACAGTATGTTTTGTTTAACCTTTTGGGAATAAATGAAAAAAAAAAAAAATAAATCTATTTATTGTGTAATAAATTAATAAAATAAAATAAAAATAGATGAAGAAAAGATCGATAATATAAGTTAAATTTTTTTATGTTTTACTAGCTCCACATTGATATAGATTTTACTAAGGAAACAACTTTAGTGGGAGCTGGCCGGTAATTTAGTGCGAACCAAGTCCTAAAAGGCCACAAACAAATAGTAATGGGGTTTGAAGAATTTTAAACTTAACTCAGACCAGTTTGTTTATTTGACGCCTAAATGAATTGATTGTGGTGGATTCTTTAAAATGATGAGAAGTGCATCTCTTGCAAATTCACTAGCATTTTGCAAGAGTTTGCGGGAAGTACAGCGAGCCACTCTTGAACATAGAAGAAATTGATTAACAAGCAATCCTGATTAAATTACATTATGCAGTCTTACATTGGCATTGCAATGAAATAAGTTTTCTAATTCAAAATAGTGACTTAGATGTCACAATAAAACAATTTTATCGAAACTCATTCTCACATGATTATTAATATTTAAAATCACCTTGCCAACCATACATACTGTAAACAAATTTTTTTTTTTTTTTTAGTAAATATCCCAGTACATGGTTTAGGGGAAATAAATTATACTGTAAACTTTTTTGTTCATATGTGTAAAAATAGTTGTAAAAATATATGAGTCACATTTTCATTTCTGGAAAAATTTTAGTTTTGGTGGCATAAACCAAACTATGTTTTGGACTGTATCCATACATGGATTACATATAATTAGAAGACAACATAGGCAGACACATTGTGGTTGGGGAATGCCTAAAGGCTCTATGCCCATACCTTCTATGACAAGAACATGATTAAATCCTTTTTTTATTTTTTATTTTTTTATTATTATAAATATTATTTTAACTTTTTTTAATGTTTTTTGAGACCTTCCTCAAAGACAGGAGCGGAACAATTAATGGACTAATCTGGACTATAGATCAGGTCCAATAAATAAAAAAAAAAGTACTATTAGTCTTATAAACTCAGTCCTTTGGTCTTATAAATTCACTAACATTTTGCAAGAGTTTGCGGGAAGTACCGCGAGCCACTCTTGAACATAGAAGAAATTGATTAACAAGCAATCCTGATTAAATTACATTATACAGTTTTATATTGGCATTACAATGAAATAAGTTTTCTAATTCAAAATAGTGACTTAGATGTCACAATAAAACAATTTTATCGAAACTCATTCTCACATGATTATTAAATATTTAAAATCACCTTGCCAACCATACATACTGTAAACAATTTTATTTTATTTCATTTTTTTTCGTTCTAGTAAATATCCCAGTACATAGTTTAGGGGAAATAAATTATACTGTAAACTTTTTTGTTCATATCTGTAAAAATAGTTGTAAAAATATATGAGTCACATTTTCATTTCTGGAAACATTTTTGTTTTGGTGGCATAAACCAAACTATGTTTTGGACTGTATCCATACAAGGATTACATATAATGTAGAAGACAACATAGACGGACACATTGTGGTTGGGGAATGCTTAAAGGCTCTATGCCCATACCTTCTATGACAAGAACATGATTAAATCCTTTTTATTTTTTATTTTTATTATTAGTATTATTTTAACTCTTTTTTTTTTTTTTTTTTTTTTTTTGAGACCTTCCTCAAAGACAGGGCCGGAACAATTAATGGACTAACCTGGACTATAGACCAGGTCCAATAAAAAAAGACCACGTCCAATAAAAAAAAAGTACTATTGGTCTTATAAACTCAGTCCATATGTAATCAATTTTTAGTATTACTCTTCTTTTTTTTATCAGCCCAACTGCTTCTGTGTTTATCTGGATTATATTATCAAAATTCATTTCATTAGTATAATTTAAATTTAATTAAATATAATTTATATATGAATATTTTATGGAGTGGATGGTTCTGTGATGTTTTTGTTTTGTATTAGAACTTACCAAGTAAGCTAGTTGCAGCAAAATTAGAGGAGGAAAGAGAACCATATGATGAAACGAGGAGCACGTTTGTGTGTGATTGCATGAATGTAGTTGGTGTATTTGGTGAATTTAAGTTGTGATGTGGGTGTATGATAAATCGCTGTTGGTGACTTTAGTAATATATAATGTTATTATAATGGATTAAATTATTAAGTTTCTTTTGGATGCCTGCCATGTGTGGACTAAGCAATTACATGCTTATGGGGCCAGCACTAACACACACACAACACGTATCCATCCATATATATATATATATATATATTAATATTGATAAGGAAGAAGTGTACTGGAGCCTTCCATGCTCCAAAGGTTTTAGATAAATCAAAGAAATATAAATATATATATATATATATATATATATATATATATATATCTCGTGTGGTATATTAGCAATGAAAGAAGGAAAAAGAATAAATAAATAAAATAATAGAAAAGAAGAGACACCATGCACTTTGGACCTTTGAACACTCGTGTATGTGTGTGACGGCATAAGTGTAGTGGTGTGTGCTGGTTATGAATGGTTAGAT